TCACGAACACGCGTGCACGCGGACGGACACGCGCACGCGCACCCGGGACCTTTCCGGATCAGACTCTCACCGTGGGGGCACGGGAAGGTGGGCTTTTCCACGCACGTGAGTTTAAAACGCGCTTTTAAAAAGTTAATTAGGCCTCCACTTCCGGTATTTAGTGACGTCACAACGGGAAAGGCGTACTGGGCCAATAGGGTTTGGTCTTTTAAAGGCAGGTGCTTAAAAATGAAAAACGAAAAACGCCAACTCACATTTGCATTTCTCACTAAATGATAAGTTAATTTGATAAACAACAAAACAAATTAACGGGGTTATGGCTGGAATCACAACTAAAAGCAAAGCATTCTGGGTAAACATCCAGGTGAAGTCAGTTAGTCCTTCCTGCTTAAAAATATATATATTTTTTCATATAATATAATAATTATTACTATATAACAACAATATAACAACAGTGAGGCCTCACAGGCCCTAATTAGCTTTAGTTTGATTCATATATGAACTATAAGACCCCTAGTGGGGGACAAAAATGATGGAAAATGACTTTTTTTGCTCTAAAAAAGTGTGTAAAGATAGTGATATTTTGTGTCACATGTCGCACACACAGTTATTATTTAGCATCTGTTCCTCTGGTCGTCTTACACAGGAACTTTATGGGTGAAGCATCAGTTTATTTCAGGTTTTAGTACTTTTTATAGTGAGTTTTAAAGAGATCTGACGTCTGTTCAGGAGCATCTCCTCAGAAATAGCACCCTGTTTGGCCTGTTAGGTTGGTTTATTTCTATATTATTATCTGTAATTGTAATCATCGTTTTATGAACGTACTCTTTGAATTTTTCATTTGAATTAATCAATTAATCGGAGGTAAAACCCAAGAATTTGAAGAAGTATGAACCCCAAAATGGCCTTACTTAAAAAGCAATAGATCGCATTTATTTGTAAGGCTTTTGAGGGTAATAGTTTGATATATTCGGATGTTTTGTTATTTTATTTCTATATTATTATTTGTAATTGTAATCCTCGTTTTATGAACATACTCTTTGAATTTTCATTTGAATTCATTAATAAATCAGAGGTAAAGGGCAAGAATTTGAAGAAGTATGAACCCCTTAATGGACTTTCTTAAGCAACAGTAGATTTTAGTTTTATTTATTTGTCTGTTTTGTTTCTATACTCTTTGAGATTTAAATTTAAATTCAAATTAAGTGCTTATTTTATTTTGTTTTGTATGTGTGTATGCAGTGAGGTTTGCCTGCTCTCCACTGTGCAAACGGTGTAGCACATATCAAAACTGTTTTTGTGTAAATTAATAAATAAATTAATAAAAAACATTGTTAAAACCCTCCCACCCGCCCGGGATCAGACATTTACTCTAAAACGGTTGAGCAGGAAGTCACCTCTCCTTCTCCAACAACAACAACAACAACAGGAGAACCCCCGGTTAGGGTTAGGGTTAGAGAACCTCCCATTGGCTGTTCCCATTGGCCAAACGGGATCGACCAATGGGAGCGCTCGGAGGCCTGGGCCCCGGCGTGAGGCCGACCCGTTCCCGGTGTGGCGCCGGTCCGGGTTCAGCCAGTTCCCACCGGCTTTCGTTTCACGTTTTACAAACATGCTTTTCCCTTTTTTTCTTTTTTTATAATGGTTTAAATGAAAAAAAGCTGGTGTTTGGACAGATGGAGGAGAGTGGAAAGCTACTGGAGTCGGATTTCTGACCGGGAAAAAGGAGGAGAAAACCTGAGATGAGATGAGTCCACCTGCTTCCAACTGGGAAGAGCAGGAAAAA